GTATCCGGACATGTAAACCTTTTTACACGGCTAAAAAAATAACCGAAGGATTATATCGTGAATTTTACAATCAGGTAGGTAGATTTGAAAAAAAAAAAAAAAAAAAAAACCCCCCCGTCAACATTTAACGAATCCGTGGAATTAATAATAATAATAATAATAATATCGATGAATTTTAGGGTGACGTCGAAGTCAAATTAGGTTTTACTCCCTTGGCCATGATGGACAGGCATAAAACGATAACAATTCCAGAAAATCAAATACAATTTTTATCAATCGTTTGCATACCTTGCGTTGAAATATTAGTGACAGTTTTTCCAAACACGAAAGAACTTTTAACGCAATGCGTGTAATGATAATAATAATAATAATATTTAAATTAATTAATTATATATGAGAAAATCATTGAATGATTTATTAATTATTTCAGCGACCTTAAAGAATGTTGGTCGGATATACTTGCTAAAAAAGTTATGGAAGTGTGGAAAATAAATGACAGCATATTTAAAGAACGGAAAAAAACTGAAAATTCTAAAAAATTTTATTCGACTAAATGATTTGACGTTAAATAAAAAAAAAAAAAAATTTTTTATTTTTATTATCATATAAATTGAAACGCCCACGAAGTAATTCGATAATTTCAAATATCATTTTACGAATAGAAAAATTTTGAAAAAGTTTACAAGAGGATTAATTTAAAATTTATCATGAAAATTTTTAGCACTTTTATTTTTTTTTAAAAATTATATATATGTATATATGTATAAAGATGAAAAAAATAATAATAAATGCATATAAATGTATTTATATATATAGTAAATAATTTATTAATGAGTAAATTTTTTTTTTTTTTTTTAAAATGCTCTCGTAAAATAATTTTTATATCGAACACTTTTAATAAATTTTAAACATTTATTAAATTTTATAATATAATATAAACTAACAACTTAAAATAATAATGAGAGTAATATGACATTGTGTGAAATCAAATATTACAAAAAAAAAAAA